ACTTAGTTACTTTTTATGGAAAGTAATGCGTTATATTATTTTTGCGTTACTTTCGCGTTACTTTTTAAATGTGAGCAGGGCTTGATTGTTTTTAATATAAGAAGTTCTATTTATAGCAAATATAAAAGCCCTTTCACACCAAAAAGTGTAATGAATAAACCTCAGGCTGAAGGAAGTGCCTCTGGTCTGCACCTCACTCCCAATTTCTCTCATCATGGGACAGGAGAGGTGAAAAAGTAACTCAGATATTTTCTTGTAAATTAAAAAAGTAATGCGTTACTTTACTAGTTACTTGACAAAAGTAATCTGATTACGAAACTCACGTTACTTGTCAAGTAACTAGTAAAGTAACGCATTACTTTTGTAATTTACAAGAAAATATCTTCCATATGAAGTTTTACGGTGATGTTTTGCATCTATTCAGAGTCAAGACTTTCTCACAATGCAGAGATGGTTGACAGCCATTCTACACTCTCATAACTAAAATAGTGTGCTAATTACAGCAGCTGCAGTGTTTCAGAGCTGTGATCTCACTGTTGAGGTTTGGAAACATGTTACTCATGTTACTCAGAACTCAGTTTGACCGCAGTAGAGCCGAGCTCATCTCTGAGCCCAGTTTAGCCTGATTGGTGTGAACCTGAATCCTTCTGATGTCACTTCCTCTTCTTTCTGTAACTAAATATCTGAGGGCTTCTTAGGGCTCAAAGCAGTGAAATGATTAATAATTAGATCGATGACTGAAGGGGAACCTGCTTTCAAGAGCCCAAAGAAATGAATCAACACAAACAAACTTCTGGAAGAATATTTGCATGAGTCTTGTTTGTGTTTCAGTGTCACAGTTACAGTGTTACTATATTCTCACGTTCAGACAGCACAGAGTTGAAAATATATATATATATATAGTGGCTGCTCACTGAATGTTGCTCCCATTGGTCCTTTGTGTCTGGATGGGCGGGGCTTGGCCAGAATTAAATGAGAGTCAGACTTTGCCTGTATAGTGTTTACTGTAGTCTTATATTGTATT